ATGTCACCCAAACCACTGTGGATCCTGCTGTGCCGTGACACCCCTTTGCCTGTGACAGCCCCTGGGTGTGGGCTGAGCCTCACGTGCAAGCTCTGACAGCGCTGTGGCCTGTCAGGGCAATAAAGCAGAAACTGGCGTGTGCCTGGATGTGCCCAACGTGGAGATGCCTGGAAAGGGAAACCTGGGACATCTGACCCGCAGGCACCGCTCAGGGAGGCACACAGAAATGATGGTTTTAAAAACTAAACTTATTTTCCCCCAACTTTCAGTTTTCTTTATCCCTCCCAAACTTCCTAAAGGCTGTTAATCTCAACCGTTGTCTTCCTGTGCTGAACCCTGCAAAAACCCCAAAGCTGCTCCGTCTGTTGGGGCTCTTTATCTTCAGGAAACACGAAATCGCGTGTGCCTGGCTCTGGGAAGGGATTAGGCCGAGAAACAAAGCCAAGAGAAGCACCTTGCCTGGAGACAAGGCACGTATGGTTTATCTCTAAACACTCTCTGCAGCCTGTCCCTAAACCCCGGGAAGAACAAAACACAGGCAAGTTATTAAGATGGCAGACATGGGCAGGAAGGCAAATCAGGCAGAGGAGCTGCTCCTTGGGCCAGGTGATCCTCCGGGGCTGTGGGCAGGTTCAGCCTCTGCGCCGGGAGCCGGTGGCTCTGTGGGGTGGCTCTGTGGGGTGGCTCTGTGGGGTGGCTCTGTGGGGTGGCTCCGTGGGGCTGCGGTGCGACGCAGAGAGGAGCCGGCGCCGCCTTTGTCCTGTCCCTCCGGCACTGGGGGCTGCCTTTGTCTGCGGCTCCTGGCTCTGCGTGTCCCTGGCTGCTGCCTGGCCAGTGTGGGAGCGGTGGGAGACCCCGCAGGGCTGGCAGGAGATGTCAGTCCCTGCCTGGCTCAGGCGCTGTTAGGGAGGACCCCGGGTTCGTGGATCGGGGTCACACGGCCTGGATGTGCCGCCCGGTGTGCTCGGCAGGGGTGGTGGCACTTGCTGTACCAGCTTCTCACACACCATGAGAGAGGTGGAAAAGGGGGATGTGAGGCTGCTGGACAGTCAGGGCTGGCTTGGGAGGACCTTCATGTGTTGGCTCGTGGCACTGCAGGTCGAGATGTGTCCACACCGCTGGCATCACCACACCACTGGCATCACCACACCACTGGCATCACCACACTGCTCTCTGGAGCCAGCACAGCCGGAGTGCAGCCCCTGCGTGTGGTGCGATGGAGCTGGTGGTGCTCCTACTCTGCTCCTTGTGCTCTGTCACAGCATCCACAGCTTTGCTCTGACCTGGCCTGGGCTGTGGCACTGCTTGCAGGGTGTGGGGCCACAGGGACACCCACCTTGGCCAGGCAGGTTTATAACTTGCACTTTTGGGTTTGTCATCCATGATTTCCAGGTGGGAGGCTGAGGTTTGACCTGGCACAGTGATGCCCTTTGCAGCACTTGATTTGAGGCTACAAAGAACTCAGCTGCTTTCAGAAATCAGTACCACAGTAAAATAGAGGAAGGCCTGTTTTGGCTCATATTTTGGGCACAGCCACCTGGACATTGGGCAGGAGCAGCACTTGGGCAGCTCGGCCTTGCCCTCAGGAGCTGGGCTCTGGTGCACACACGGGTTTGATGCTGCAGCTGGAGCCTCTGCCCTGTGTGGGAGCCTCTGCCCTGCCTGGGCATCCCCTGCTGGAACTCAGTTTGGTGTCGAACTCAAAAGCACCCACAGCTGCGTGATCCTGGGGTGCTCAGGGGACTCAGGAAGGAGCAGGCAGCGATGTCTGGGCTGGCAGAGCTGAGATGGGGCTTTTTGAAGTCTGGGATGCATAGGATGGCATCGGTCACTGCTTAGAGCTGGGGGTTTTGAAGGTGTTGAGCCTGGAGATTTGGATTGCCAATTGCTCACCCCACCAGCAGCGGCCTTTCTCGCTGGTGCTGCCCCTTGCTTTGCCCCCCGATAGGTGTTCCAATTCTGGGTGCTTTCTGGGGTGATTTAAGGTGGGAGATGGCTCAGGGAGAGGTCGGGCCACGCCGCATGTCTGGCGGTGTTTGTGGTGCCGCGGCCCCGTTTGCTCCTCTCCGGTTCCCGGTTCCCGGTTCCCGGCTGTATTTCGGCGGTGGGTGTGCGGGGAGGGGGCCGGCTCGGACCCGCCGCCGCCGCAATAAAACTCCCTTTTGTCTGGGCGCCGTTCCCGCGGCCCCTCGGCTGAATGCGGCGCTGGAGAGGATTTCAATGACATGGTAATTTCATGCCGTCCCACCGGCGGCTTCGCCCGGCACAGGCAGCTGTTGGGCAGTGGGTCATGTTCCCCAGCTGTTACAATAAATAACAGAAACAAAGCGTTTCCCAGCGCTAATTACCCCAAACTTGCTTTCACCTCGCAGCGCTGCCCTCGCCGCCGTCTCTGCCCGCGGTACCCGGCGATGCTCCCGCCGCCGGCACGTCCCCAGGGCACGGCTTTGTGTGCGAAAGTCTGTGGTTCCTCCCGGGCCGCGGAATTCCTAATGGCAGCGGATTTCATCCCGCTCACTGGCCGCATTGTGCTGCAGGAACAACACTCGCCCTGCAGCCCCCGGCCCCGGCGACCACATTTACATGACAAAGTGGGAGCCTGTGCAGCTTTGCCATGGAGAGTCGAGGTATGCAGGAGCCCCCCACTCCCCGTGTGCAGGAGCCCCCCCACGTACAGGAGCCCTCCTGTTTCCACACACTTTGGGTCACTTTTTAACGAGGCTTCTTCTCGCTGGCCCCTTTGCTGCTGCTCCAAGCTGCTGCCAGGGCTGTAGACACCAGGTGCCCCAGGATGCCACGTCGAGTGCCCAGGATTCCCTGGCACAGCATCCTCCAAGCCAGGCAGAGGGCAGCTTTCAGGAGGATTTGCTCCGAGGCAAATCATGGAGGGACCCTAAGCACCCTGAGGCAGGAGTGTGGTGTGTGAAGGGATGAACCCAACCCAAGTGTTCACCAAAAGGCTTTAGGGTCCCTCTCACCTGGGCTGGAGCAGCCAAGGCTGGGTGAGAGCCTGGCTCACGTCCTGGAGGTGCTGCTGTGGCGGCTGTTTCCACTTGTCACATTCAAGGAACGTGTGTTGTGGTCAAAAATAAAACCCTCTGAGTCAGCCCAAGGGTAAACTTGCCCATCCTCAATGCTTGTTGTGGTTGTGCCCTGCTCTTTGCAGAGCCCCAAACCAGCTTCAGCTCCTCTTGGGCACCCAAGTGGCACAGAGCAGCTGCCAAGCTGTGCCCACCCTGTGTCCCTTGCATGCATGGGGATGCCATGGGCACGTGGAGATCTGGGCATATGGAGATGCTATCCTGCTCACACACGGCTGTGTGGTCATCTTGGGGATGAGTTGATGAGTTGATCCAGAGGAGGAGAAGCTGCAGGTGCTGGCCATGATGTGGCTGCAGGGAAGGCAGCAGAGAGCTGCTGTGGCCTGGCAGGTCCTGCACAGATGGGCTGTGTGGTTCCTCACTCAAACTCAGGGACTGGAGGCTCCTGCAGTGCTGGCAAACACCTCTTTGATTGCAAACCATGATTTAAAAATGCATCAGCTCACAGGCAGGGAGCTGGCCACTGCCAAGAAATGTTAGTCATGTGGAGACATGACTTACACCGGGAGCAACTCGTCTGAAAGTCAGTTCCTTAAAACAAGCTGCCCCCAGGGCCAAGTGCAGCTGTTTGTCCGGGGGGTCTGGCAGTCACCCTGTCCTGGGCCAGCTGCAGGTACCGCAGGGTCCAAGCCCTGCCCTCGGGGATCCCCACCTTCCTCCAGGTCCCATGCTGCCCTGCCCAAGGAGGTGCTGGGGCCAGGTTAGCCCCAGGCTCAAGGCAGATTTTGGAGCTTCTGCTGCAGGGATGCTCACCAGAGTTGTCCCATCCCCTTGGTGTCCGGCATTTCATCCGCAGGAAAAGTCTTGCAGAGGTTGGGTGCAAAAGTGAAAAACAAATTTGAAGCTTAGTTTGCTGCTCTTCTGTTTTTCTGCTCCTGGTATTTTTAGTCTGGAATTGAAATTTGTATTTAAAAAGAAAGTGGATGGGAGAAAGGGGTGCTAAAAGCACCATGTGTTCAGGAGGCTGAATTGGAGCCGGGACGCTGTCTGGGGCTGGCGAGGACAGTTGGCTGTGCAGATGGAGCACAGTCAATACCCCCACACCCACTCCCCACACTGGCCCAGCTGGCCCAGACCTCACAGGGCTTGAGGAACACATAGAACGTGCAAACTGGGATAGGTGGAGAAGGGCAAAGTGGGAATGGGGCAGGAAGGACAAGGCTCACCTCAGAGAGCAGTGGAATAATTCCTTGGCAGTGTTTTAAATACCTTTGAGTCTGAGGGTGCTGTTGGCTTAGAAACACCACTCTGTCCTGTGGCCATGCACTGGTACCATCCCATGTCTCCAGAGCCTTGTTAGTGAGTCTGTATAATGGGAATTGTGGAAAAACTGGTGTCTCCCTCTTTATGGGTCCACACACTACTTGAAGTGGGGATTTAGGATTGGTTTGGGTTTGGGTTTTTTTTCGTAACCCAGCAGTTCAACATTGCTATAGTGCAGATGCAATAATGTGTTCCCTGTTTCTTTGACATCCTCCCTCTAGCAGCAAGTCGGAATTTGCTGGAGGATGGAGGGGAAATGCACATGTCTGTAGGTCCCTGCTGACAGTATCCAGGGAATTGCATCCCCTTGGAGAGGGGCAGACCTGCAACTCCATGCTGGTGGAGCCGGTGCTTCTCTCCCATCAGAGGAGGCAGTGCCGAGGGAGGCGGTGGGGCTGCTGTGGCACTGCCCTTCCATGGCTTGGCTAGTGCTGGTGCTCCCCAGACAGTGCCCAGGGAAGCTGCTTCCTGTGCTGCTCTGAATTCTGCCACTGCCACCTCCTGCCCGGAGCAGGGGTAGTGGGGGACCTTCTGGCTTGGGCTGCGGTGCTGGAGAGCGCTGTGGCTGTGCGTGGTCTGTCTGTCCGGGCGCAGGGTTGCTCCCAGCCCTCCTGACCTGAGCTCTCTCCCGCAGCTGCAGGCGCATACCTGCCCCCCTTGCAGCAGGTGTTCCAAGCGCCGCGGCGGCCCGGGATAGGAACCGTCGGGAAGCCCATCAAGCTCTTGGCCAACTACTTTGAAGTGGACATTCCCAAGATCGATGTGTATCATTATGAAGTGGATATCAAGCCCGACAAATGTCCACGCAGAGTCAACAGGTAAGGCAAGTATTAGAGGTTTTGGCACTTGTTCCCTGCTTCCAGTTTCCTTGTGGAGGCTCCATAAGTGCCTGTCTCTGTCTTTGCAATGGAGGCCGTCAGGGTGATGTTGTGGCAGGGGTTACAGCAGTGGCAGGGGTCACAGTGCTGCCCAACACCCACGGGTGGCTGGAACCCCCAGCCACGTCTGTGCAGCAGCGTTGGTTCCTCCCCAGCAGCCTCAGTGGTCCGGAGCCTCAGCACGGTCCCTGCTGCTCCAACGCAGCTGTGTTATTTTGGCAACAATCCCCCATTTAAAAATAGTGAGCCCGGACCTCAGGCCATCGTGTTCTTTACTTTCCTTTGTTTTCCATTTTGATGTGCAGTTTGCTGCCTGTCCCCTCCTGCCCCCGCAGCCCGGGGAGCTCTGTGACCCGAAGGCAGGCGAGCAGATGCTGCACATGCCTTCGGCAGCCGGTCGCTCCCTCCCTGCGGCAACTCCGGTGGCTGCGCCTTCCCCCGTGCCATGTACACTCCTTCTGCCAAAGCCTGTGTACCAGGCTGTGGGGCAAGGCATTTGTCCATTTGTCCAGGGGCTTTCCTCCTCGGGGGGACTCGGCCCAGCTCTCAGGTGCCCTGGGGAGGGAGGTTGAGGGGCACTGGGCAGGTCACAGGAGGTGTCAGGGTATAAAGAAACTGGCAAAACAAACCCCTTCCTTCTCTGCCCCTGCCCCTCTTTCTTGCCTGCGTAGGGAAGTTGTGGAGTACATGGTGCAGCACTTCAAACCGCAGATCTTTGGCGACCGAAAACCAGTCTATGATGGGAAGAAGAACATCTACACTGTCACAGCCTTGCCCATTGGGAACGAGCGGGTAAGAGGGGTGGTGAGCCCCATACGAGCAGTGTGACCTCCCTCCTTCCTGGGAAGGACCAGCGGAAAACAACCCCACCTTGTCCCTGCGGGGATGCCACGGTCACTGTCCCTTCCTTCCTGCACCCAGGTTGACTTTGAGGTGACGATCCCGGGGGAAGGCAAGGACAGGATATTTAAGGTCTCCATCAAATGGATGGCCATCGTGAGCTGGCGCATGCTGCACGAGGCCCTGGTCAGCGGGCAGATCCCCGTCCCGCTGGAGTCCGTCCAGGCACTGGATGTTGCCATGAGGCACCTGGCTTCCATGAGGTACCTGTGCCAGGGAGGGAAGGGGGCCGCTGCCCTTGCCAGGCTGTTGTGGCTGGCACTGGCCTTGACGGTTGCTGGGAGAAGGTGGCTGTGCCTGCCACATCTCTGGGTGCTCCTGGAAAAGAAATAAAGTGGGTGGTGCAGCCGGTGGGGGGGAGCACTGGCTCGGGGGGCTGGGGGCGATGCCACAGCGCTGGTGTGCGCTGTGTGACGTGGTTTGCCCCCGTTCACAGGTACACTCCTGTCGGCCGCTCCTTCTTCTCCCCCCCCGAAGGCTACTACCACCCCCTGGGAGGGGGCAGGGAGGTCTGGTTCGGCTTCCACCAGTCAGTCCGGCCTGCCATGTGGAAGATGATGCTCAACATCGATGGTGACGTTATTTCTCATGCTGGGGAGCTGCAGCGGTGGGGCCGGGTGTGTCTGGGGAGGCTGATGGGGGGCAGAGACACATCGTGGTGTCTGTTCCACAGTGTCGGCCACCGCCTTCTACAAGGCCCAGCCTGTCATCGAGTTCATGTGTGAGGTGCTGGACATCCGAAACATCGACGAGCAGCCCAAGCCCCTGACGGACTCACAGAGAGTGCGTTTCACCAAGGAGATCAAAGGTAGAGCCCCTGGGGAACACTGGGACCTGTCCCCTGACAGCTGCTGTGGCTTGTGGACCCCCCAGCCCTGCAGCGAGGTGGGGGTACAAGGGTTGCACATTTTAAATGTCTCAGGGGGCACCATTGCCTCCCTCGTGCTCTTGTCGGGGTGTCTGCAAGTGGGGGATCAGCTAAGGAAGGTTTGGCAGTGCCTTGGGGGAATTGGGCAAAGGGGAATTGCTCCCACCTTCACCATGACGGTGCTGTGTCTCCCTGTGTCCCTTCAGGTCTGAAGGTGGAGGTGACCCACTGTGGGCAGATGAAGAGGAAATACCGCGTGTGTAATGTTACCCGGCGGCCGGCCAGCCACCAGACGTAAGGCGGGTGGGCAGTGCCCTTGGAAAAATCCACGCTGTTCTCCTCGTTAACAGCTGCTGGTGTCGTTAGGGAGAGCTGGGCAGGGAGCTCCAGCCTTTGATGGCAGAAGGAGACGTGTGGGAGGCTCTGGAGGCCTGTGCCACACGCGGAGCAGGATGCAGGGAGGTGGGAGCACAGAGGATGCTGTGTCTGGCAGGCGGAGCGCGGCGGCGGGCGGGAGCTGACGTGCCAGGAATTGTCCTAGTTTTTACCTCTGAGTTTGGTTTTCTTCTTTCTTAAAATAGCCACTGCCAGAGCAGAGGCTTTGTCAGGGGATAACATGAGTGTCTGTCTTGGAATTATTTGTGTGTGCCTGGGAGCAGGCTGGGCCTCGGCACCCCTCGGTGTCCGCTGTGCTCCAGCATCCCTGGGTCACAGCCCCAGAGCTTGGCAAGCACAGGAGGAATGTGGTGCCTCACCAGGGTGTTCAGCCTGGCTCTCCTGTCTAATTTTGGCTCCATAAAGAATATCAAGTCAATTCTGCATTTTCATGGAGCTCTTTATGGAGCTGGGAGCAGCTGGTGCTGGGTGAGACCAGGTATCATGCTCCGGCTGTGGGTGTTGTGGCACCACTCAGCCCTGCAGCCAGGAAGCTGGATTTTTTTTTTTCTGTGTTTTTGAAGGGAAATGTCCCCTCCTGCCCCCACACTCTGCCCGCCCCGGGGCTGCTGCCCCATACTAGGAGAGGCCTGTCTGCCTGTCTCTGGAGCTCAGCTCAGCTCCCAGGGAGGGCAGCGGGCACACAAGCCCTCCCAAGTGCCAGTGTGCTGTATTTCCATACCTGACTGTGGCATGTGTGGCACGTCCTGCAATAAACATTTGCCTTGATTAGCTGGATTAGTGAGGGAGAGCTTTATTTAGGGACCTCAGTCCCACACTGGGGTCAGAGTATTCCTGACTCCATTTCTGAAAATACATCGTTATGCCTTTTATTTTGTTGTCTGGCAGCTCAGGGTGGGAGCCTGGCAGCTTCCTCTTCCCAGGCACGGTACATAGTGCCTGAGGCCTGGAAGTGTCTGTTCTGAGTAGGTGCATCCCTCGTGTCCTGCCTCTACCAGGTTCCCTCTGCAGCTGGAGAGCGGTCAGACTGTGGAGTGCACAGTGGCTCAGTACTTTAAGCAGAAATACAACCTGCAGCTGAAATACCCCCACCTGCCCTGTCTCCAGGTTGGCCAGGAGCAGAAACACACGTACCTGCCCTTGGAGGTGAGTGTTGGCACCTCTGGTTTGGGGCTGGCTGCAGGGCCCGAGTGCTGTGCTCAGCCGTGGTCCCTCATGTCTCACCTGTCCCCAACACGTGCTGTCCCCTCCCGTGCAGGTGTGTAACATCGTGGCTGGCCAGCGGTGCATCAAGAAGCTCACGGACAATCAAACATCAACCATGATAAAAGCAACAGCCAGGTCTGCCCCAGACAGGCAGGAGGAAATCAGTCGCCTGGTACGTGGCACGAGTCCCTGAGGGACGTGTTGGGGCTGCGGCTCCGAGGGCAGGTTACAGCACCGTGTCCGTGATGGACCTTGCCATGGTCCTGCTCCTCAGCTCCTCTGCACTGGGGAGCTGTGACCTGCTCAGAAGGTGCTGGTGGGGTTAATGGAGTGGGTTTATCCCCCTCTTCCCACTGAATCTCCAGTCAGAGGTGCCTGCATGTGTGTAATGGACACTGGCACAGGGGAGCCCAGCTCAAAGTGACTGTAGAAATGCGCGTATGGCAAATTCAGGTCCTCGTGCTGATGGAACCTGACCCAAAGGGAGCTGGAACTAAAAATAGGGAAACAAATTAGAGAAATGCCCCTGGCTGTGGGTGTACGTGGGGCTGTGCATGGTGGGGCTTCAGTACAGGAACTCTCTCTGTGCCTGGCTGCTGGTTAATGGGGCTGTTGTTCCCCAAACGGCTGTCCCTGGGCTTTCAAAGCCAGAGACATTTGATATTCCTTCTGGGACTCTTGATAAGTTCTCTCCAGTCTGAACCCTCTTGTTGAAGCCTTAAATCTCAGGAGCAGGCTCTGCTCTCAGTTGCATTGGTCAGTGTATTCCAAAATCAGGTCCCCATGGGTCAGTTTGGAGGACGGGGTCTGGGCCTTTGTGTTAACCCACTCGCTCTCCCCTGACAGAGGACTTCCCCCAAGTGCCCACAGTTCCCAGCCAGCTGCAACTGCCTGGGATGCAGCAGTTGGTCTCACTCCCTCCCATGGCCCTTCCTTCCCTCTGCAGATGAAGAACGCCAGCTACAACCTGGATCCATACATTCAGGAGTTTGGGATCAAGGTGAAGGATGACATGACGGAGGTGACGGGGCGGGTCCTGCCGGCGCCCATCCTGCAGTATGGAGGCCGGGTAAGCAAGGCTGCCCTGCCTGGGTTCAGCTGCACTGCGAGGGAGATGCTGTCACACCTGAAAATGCTGCTTCTCAACAAAATCTGTGTTACCTTCACATTTGTAGGATAGAGCTGGAATTTTTTATCAGGGTGCTTTTGGTTTGTGATTTTGGGGTTTTTTGCAATATAACTGGTCTGGAAGTTGTAGCTGAGAGTCATTGGTGACAAAACCAAGAGGTGAAGGGGAGAGGGATGCTCAGGGTAGGGCAGGTCGGGTGAATGTGCCGTCACTGCTGGGGAGCTGAGGCTGTGGGTTGCCCATCACCAGCAGTGCTGGCAGTCAGCTCCGGTGCTGTGACAGGGAGCACAGCCTGGCCCGTGCGGGGCTCTGGGGCTGCGGGGCTGGGCAGGCTGCAGTGCTCTGACCCTCTGTTTGCCTTGCAGAACCGGGCCATTGCAACTCCCAACCAGGGCGTGTGGGACATGCGAGGGAAGCAGTTCTACAACGGCATTGAGATCAAAGTCTGGGCCATTGCCTGCTTTGCCCCGCAGAAGCAGTGTCGAGAGGAGGTGCTGAAGTAAGGAAAGGGGCAGCCCGTGTGGGTTGGGGGAGCTGGGAGGGCTGTGGCTCCTGTTGTGGCCACCCTGCTGCTCCCAGCCTGGGGCTTCACATCCAGCATCACCAGTGCTGGAGCTGCACAGAGCTCCACTGCTCGTGGTACCAGTCTGATCTGGGGTGTTCAGTTCCTGTTGCTGTTGGTTTATCCAGAGGGCCTGGCTGTTTGTCCTGGCTGCAGACAGTCCCTGAGCCATCCCAAAGCTGCCAGGTTAGAGTGAGCACCTGTGAGCTGCCTGTCAGGCTCTCCTCAGTCTGCTCTTTGCATCAGGGAGCTGCGGTATCGTGAGCTGATACTGTCAGCACTAAAGCTGTATTGAACTCTTCTAGCTGAATCTCCTCAGAGAGAAGGGGTTGTGAGGGATATTTGATTTAGAGTTTCCTCGATAATCTGTCTGAAATAACATAATTCATGTAGGAAGCATCTCAAGTTCCCATGGGTTATTATGGAGAAGTTTTGGGCTTTCTGAAAAGCTTTGGTAGCTTAGAGAAACTGCTTCTGTAGTGAAGGGATGTAGAGCAGTGACAGTTTATTTGATTTAGGGAAATGGACACTTTTGTGTTGGATTCTGATGGGGCCTCTGTTTCTCCTGACTGAGAGTGGATGCATTAAGGCAAGCCCTTTGTGTGCCTCTTCTGGGTGTTTGGCATGGTCAGTTTGGGTTTTGGAACAGCTCACAGTGTCCATGTCTGCAGTACCTGGGTGCAGGTGGGAGTGGCACCATGCTCCTCCCATGCCCCTTTTGGGGCAGAGCTGAGAACCCCGTGCTCCCTCTGGCTCTTACTGCATCAAATCCATCCTTGGCAATCCAAAAATCCAGAGTCTGGCTGAGTGCTTTGTGAGGCTGGCAACAGCTTTGCAATCACCTGGAAATTATCTGTCCCAGGCAGCAGGTCCGTTCCCTGCTTCTCCAGCTTCCCAACAGAGAAGGGCTCTGTCGTTTCAGGAAGCGTCAGTACATGGGTAAGAGGGCACAGAGAGGGGGCAGTTGAGCTCTAACACGTGCTGGTCGTGTGCAGTTGGTGGGTGCTGTAGGGCCATGGCAGGATGCTGGGATGGCCCTGTCTCTGTCCCGTAGGCAGCCCTCGGCCGAGGGGCTCCGTGCTCGGTGCCGGGATGGCACAGCTGCCATCGGGAGGGCTCGGGGCTCACGGCTTCTCCTCCCGGCACAGGAACTTCACAGACCAGCTGCGCAAGATCTCCAAGGACGCCGGGATGCCCATCCAGGGCCAGCCCTGCTTCTGCAAGTACGCCCAGGGTGCAGACAGTGTGGAGCCCATGTTCCGACACCTCAAGAACACCTACTCGGGCCTTCAGCTCATCATCGTCATCCTGCCAGGGAAGACGCCGGTGTACGGTGCGTCTGGGGCGAGGAGAGAGAGGAGAAGGGCTTTGCTCTGGCTCAGCAGGGTTGGCTCCCATGGTGCTCTCTCTCCCCATTCCTGAGGGTGCTGCTGGAAGCAGTGTGGTGCTGGTTGCCCGTGTGCTCACCTGCTTCCTCTACCTGCAGCTGAGGTGAAGCGTGTTGGGGACACTCTCCTGGGAATGGCCACACAGTGTGTCCAGGTCAAGAACGTGGTGAAAACCTCCCCGCAGACCCTTTCCAACCTCTGCCTCAAGATCAACGTCAAGCTTGGCGGGATCAACAACATCCTTGTGCCTCACCAGCGGTTCGTACTGCCACTGCCTCTCACAGTTTTGGGGCTGTTTCCAGGTCCCTGGCGGTGCTGCCTGCCTGGCTTTATGAGGGGGCCTGCATAAAGCAGCTCTTTCAAATGCAGGTTTGCAGCCTGTCTCGTCTTGTTGATGTGCCCAGACGAGAGCTGGAGGTCAGGAGATGTCCTTGGTGTCATCTCTCATCTCTGTTGGGCTGGCATCACCCTGAGATGGTCCTAAAGGCTGACTGTGGTATTTTTTCCTCTCCCACCAGCTCTGCTGTCTTTCAGCAGCCGGTGATCTTCCTTGGGGCCGATGTCACTCACCCACCGGCAGGAGATGGGAAGAAACCCTCCATAACAGCTGTAAGTTCCCAGTTTGGTGCCCAAAAGCCCTGCGGGGGTGCAGGAGCTGGAATGGGGCTCATGTGTCTTTGAAGGGGCTGTGTCACTGCTGTCCCCATGGTGACAGTTATTGGGGTGGCCCTGTGCTCTGTCGGGTGTTTCATCCCATTCCTGGGGAGGTGGTTCCCTGATCCTCTTCTGCCTCTTGGCAGAGGAGCTGCAGTTTTGGGGAGATACAGGGAGAGTTGGCAGCTGCCACCAGATGGGGCTCGTGACGTGCAGGGAGCTCGGAGCTGCACCAAGTCATCCCGGAGCATCCTGGGCCAGCTGCAGCCCTGGAGGGACCTTCCCCTGGCAGGAGAGCTGGGATTTTGGAGATGGGGGAAACGGGTGACTGGCTTCTGAGCCTTTTGGGAAGGAGGATTTGCTTTCTCTTCAAATGAATAATGAGCATCCAGGAGCGAAGTGCTGCTCAGTGCCAGTGGGACTGGGAGCAGCTCGTGCCCTCTCTCAGGCTGGGAGACGCTGCCCTCTGCTCTTTGGAGCGCAGGAGAGTGTCAGGTTCTCTCAGAGTCTGTTTTAATTAAGCACGTCAGCATTTTCCTATTAAGTTCTTAACTTTCCAGGACTCACAGCTCAGGTTTTCCTTGGCATGCAAATGCATCTTTGGAAGAGTGTTTTTTCTTAATTAGAAGGGGTTGGGAAAGGCTTTGGGCTGTTTGCTGTAGGTGTGGGTGGGACAGAACAGTCTGTTTCCTGGCGGCGACACTTCCCCTCTGAAAACATCTTCTGTGGTTTGTGCAGGACCACTGGGGCTTTTTTTCTTACTTTTTATGAAAGCTTTTCTGAAGCTGCAGGGGAGGAGAAGGGTAGAGCCTTCAGAGGGACTTGACCTTGTCCTTGGTGTGTTGTTGATTAGGCAAGGGGGGTCCACGGCTGGAGGAACTATTTCTGTTGTGCCTTGGCTCCAGTGCAGCAGCCCCAACCCCAGAACTGTTTGTGAAGCAAAAGTGAAAGCGCTGGGGAAGGGCAGCAGGTTCACACTGCTGGGATGGGGGGGATAAGTGGTGCTTCCCCCTTGCTCAGGGGGACATGGGGCACACAACAAAGTCACGGCAGCCAGGCATGTCCCCAAGGGTGGGTCAGCACCTGATTCACACTGCACCCCTGTCCCTGTGTCACAGCCGAGCTCTGACGTCTCTGAGGTGACTTGACCCACCGTGTCCTCGGGCAGCCTGTGGCTGTCTGGGGCAGCCCTGCTCCCCCTCACCACTGGGCAGAGCAGCAGCAGCCCCCACAGCCATGTCACTCAGTGGCACCAGCCACAGCTGTCTCACTGGAAATTCCCGTAAATGTTGCAAAGGGCACGGCAGACTGTGACACCGGGATGTGGCCACGACCAGGGATGTCCCTTTTGGGTGCTGGTTGCCTGTACAGTATTTGCTGTCCCATCTGATCTGTGAGCTCAGGTGCTCTGCCCACGGCCAGCTGTGCATGTGGGAAGCTGGTGGAGGCTGGGAATGTCCCACATCCCCTCTGTCCTTGCCGGTGTAACCCTGGGGCCTGGCCTGTCGCTGCAGGTCGTGGGCAGCATGGACGCCCACCCCAGCCGGTACTGTGCCACGGTGCGCGTGCAGCGCCCGCGCCAGGAAATCATCGAGGACCTGTCCTACATGGTGAGGGAGCTCCTCATCCAGTTCTACAAATCCACCCGCTTCAAACCCACCAGGATCATCTTCTACCGCGATGGTGTTCCCGAGGGGCAGCTCCCACAGGTGAGGACCCCTCAGATCCCTGTCGGGCAGCAGGGATGCACCAACTCCCTGCAACAGGGCTCCCCAGGGGTGCCAGGGACAGCTGGGTGCTGGTGTATCCCCACACTCTGTGCCCTTGTCTCTCCAGATCCTTCACTATGAGCTCCTGGCGATCCGAGACGCCTGCATCAAACTGGAAAAAGATTACCAGCCTGGCATCACCTACATCGTCGTCCAGAAGAGGCATCACACCCGTCTCTTCTGTGCAGACAAGAACGAGAGGGTGAGCACTGTGGGGTGGGAGGCAGCTGATTCATCCCTGTCTGATGGAAGAGCCAGCCCTGGCTTTGCCAAGGGGGAATCTCAACCCTGGCAGGGAGAGCTTGTTCTGAATGAAACGTGCTGCTCGCTGGACTCCTGCAGCCACGTGGATTAGGCTGCCTCTAGAACCCCAGCCAGCTGTTTGCTGTTATTATGAGTTACTGGGTGCTGATGATCCTGGTGACTCTTGAAATAACCTCTGTCAGCTTGAAAACATCTGTTGTTTTGGTGATAGCTGGAGCTGCTGACGTGACAGGCTGAATAACCCCTTGCTCACAGCTTGTTTGTGTGTGCTCTGCAGCAGCATTGATGCTGTCACTTTTCCTAGATGTCATCTGAATTTAGTGGGTAGATCGAGTCTAACCAGACTCTGCTCTGGTTAGAGCAGCAAGATTTAATCCTGGGAACTGAGGACTCTTCTGATCAGGATGTAAAAGCCCCAGTATCTTGTGGCACAGACTCCAGCACATGTTCTGCAGAGAACCCTGGAGTTTTGCTCACTTAAGCCTCATCTCTGCAGTAGGATGTGCCAGTGCCCAACCCTCACCCTGCTGTTGGCTCTATCTCCATGTCATGCCTGGTGTTGCTGCCTGCAGAGAATGCCAGCAGGCCTGTTTACACAGGGAGCAGAGCAGGAAGAGCTGCCTCAGTCCCCCTGGAACCGACATTTGGGGAGTGGCTCTGCATGCTGCTCTCACAGACATGGGGACCCTGTGCTGGGGCCCTGGGGCAGCTGTGTTAGGAATGGTGCTCTGGGCACTTGGAAATAACCCAGTTCTGCAGCACTTGGATCTCTCTTTCTATTCCCTGTAGATTGGGAAGAGCGGGAACATCCCAGCAGGAACAACAGTGGATACAAACATCACCCACCCCTTTGAGTTCGACTTCTACCTGTGCAGTCATGCAGGCATTCAGGTACTGTGCTGCAGCGATGGCTGTTGTGGTGCTGTAGGGTTTTTTAGCTGGTGTGGCAGACTGTGCTCTCATGCATCTGTCCCAGCCCTGTCCCAGCCTCCCTCTGGCATGGAGAGAGGGCAGTTGGATCCGAGCTGCCACTGCGGTGGTTTGGCGAGCAGGTGCCGGGCCCGCACTGCTGCTGCATTGTGTGGCACGTACTCCATTTCTCTCCTGGAGCCAAGGACCTCTCCTAAGAGATTTTCCTCCTTCAGAGCAGCCAATTCAGCAGCTTGTCAGCTGGTGTCTGAGCGTGCTGGGCTCGCCAGGCGCCCGGTTGTCAGCAGGGACCTGCTGTCTGGCCGTGGGCGGCAGAGCTGGGCCAGCCGTCCCTGCCTGCTCTGCAGCTGCCTGGCTGCAGGCGGCCAAGATTAGTCAGAAACCGGGCTGGAAAAACTGCTCTCACTTAATCTGCAGCTGCTTCCACAAGGAAGGCTGCTTGGCCTCCCCTCCCCTGCGTGTACAGTGGGAGCTGGCCGGGGTCGGTGGGGATCCCGTGGGCTGTGCCACGCCGGGAGCAGCGGCACACAGGGAACAGGCACCGGGCAGTGGCGTTAGTGCTGCTTTGCACCTCGGTGCCAAGGGTTTCCTGCCTCACCATGTGGGGCTCTCACATCAGGGAAGCACAGGCCTCTCTCCTGCCCAGGCTGTCTGAGAGATCATTTGGATCAGGGCGGGGATGCTGAGGGTGTGAAGCAGCTGCCTGTGGCTGCCCATGTCCGGATGCTGGCAGCACCTCTCACACTGCCCCCCTCCTTCCCAGGGCACGAGCCGGCCCTCCCACTACTACGTGCTGTGGGATGACAACCGGTTCACGGCGGATGAGCTGCAGATCCTCACGTACCAGCTGTGCCACACCTACGTGCGCTGCACCCGCTCCGTGTCCATCCCAGCCCCGGCCTACTACGCCCGGCTGGTGGCATTCCGGGCCAGGTACCACCTCGTGGACAAGGAGCACGACAGGTGAGGGGCTCAGCCTGTGGCCCTGGGAGGGCACAGCCAGGTATGGGCAGGGGACAAGGGGCATGAAAGTGTCTGTGTCCGAGTGGTGCTGCAGCACAGCCTTTCTGGGGGGGAGACCTGCACGTAGCTGCATCCTCTTAAGTCCCAGCACGGGGGCAGCAGGGGGTAGCAGAGGGTTAAATCCCATCCTGAGCTCATCCCAGCCAGCGGGAGCATCCCTGGGGTGTCTGAGCATTCCCAGCTGCCTCGAGGTGCTGCAATCTCTGCAGTCCAGGCACAGGCACTGTCACATGCAGCATCTTCATGTGCTGCAGTGAGGTGCCTTCCTGTGCTGCCAGCACTCAGCTGACTCCCATCTCCAGGGGAGTTTCTCAGTGTTCCTGGGGGGAAAATATGAAATAATTATGCAGCGATTTCCTTGATTTTCAGTGGCGAGGGCAGCCATATATCTGGACAGAGCAACGGCAGAGACCCCCAGGCCTTGGCGAAGGCTGTGCAGGTTCATCAGGACACTTTACGTACCATGTACTTTGCTTGAAAGCCTAACTTTTGTTACCTCACTCAAGAAAGCTTTCAGATTTGTAGGAGCCATACAAAAAAGGAAGCATTGGGACACCTTGTTTTTTTTTTCCAATGAGAAATCACTGCAGGGCAGGCAGCGTCGACTCGAGGCAGGAGACCAGCACCACGGGACAGAACGATCCAACACCTGTGTCGGATTGGAAGAAAGAGACTGATGATGATGATGATGATGATGATGATGATGATGATGATGATGATTATTTTTTTAGTTTTTTCTGGCTTTGCAAAATTTTGACCTGACCAAACACATGAAGGCATTCAAGGGAAGGGATAAAACTCCCGGGAGGCGGAAGCAGGTTTTCATTTTTAAGATGCAATACTAGAGACTCCTGACTGTGAACTGGCGGCTTTGGTCCTCCGTTGCCCACCAGGCGCTGGTAGGTATTTTTTGTGGGGGTTGGGGGGAGGGGATTTTTAGAGCCTTAAAACAGAAGACTAGATTTATAAAACTAATATTTTAGATTATGAGATGCTTTAATGGGTTAAGGGGAAAAAAAAAAAACAAACCAACTAGTTTATAGGAGAATTCTAACACTAACAGTTCCCCGCCCCCGAGTAATTCCCCCCGGATAATGTAAGGCACCCTAGCACTTAGCTCAGAACTGAAAACTGTCTTCCTCGTGTTACAAGCTAGTCAGCTGCTGCCGCTCGAAGCAACAGTCACAGACTATTCCATGGGTGAGTGCCTTACTATGATGCTGCAAAATTTCCATGTTTTTAATCTTGTAAGGAAACTAGTAATCTTGTCTTGATGGTGGTCCATATTTCCATCGGAAGGAGTTAATTTCTATGGTCCTCAGTTGCAGTTTGTGTCAGATCACGACCTCACGGTGGTTAAACCCCATTGAAAGATGTGCACTTTCATACAGGACACGTTTAATGGCTGCTGACCCATTTTTGTTTCCAATGTACTACTTGTTATTTAAAACTGTTCTGACAAATGGGGGCATCTCCATCCCATGAGGAGAGAAAGCACTATCCATTTTTTCTTTCTTTTTTTTTTTCCTTCCCCCCTCCCCCGAATTTTTACAATGGGACACCGGGATTTTTTTACTAGACATTATTTTTATATGATACTGAGTCTGTTGCCAAAATCCACAAGTCATTAACATTCTCAGAGTTTACATCCCCGCACTTCCTGAGGCTGTGTGCTCATGCCAGAGCTTTCCAGCGTTTCCTGTCCGATGAGCGTTGCTGCCTGCAGCCCGTTCCATGCCGGGTGCTCCGCAGTGCCCGTGGTCCCTGTGCATCCAGCATGTGTCTGCCCGGGCTGGCTGCTTTCCAACTACCACATCCCCCACCTCCAGCACCTCCCGGCTCACTCTCTCTGCTGCTCAGTTTTGCTGCTCTTCGTGTCATTGTATCACTGCTCTCATGCCCGGGGTTTTGATTCTGAAAGCACACCAGATCATTCCTTAGAATGACGAAATCCTTGTTGTTGTCGTGGGGGAAACTCCTGATTTGTGTGTGTAGCAGGAAAACAGCCTTTTTCCCCTCAGGAACCTGGTCACTGCTTTTCAGGCCCGTTTTGCTGCGCAGCGACCGCACGCACGGCGGCGGGGCCGTGGGGGCAGCTCAGTACCGATATCATCCGGGCAGATTATCTGGGGTTTTTGAGATGAAAGTGCTCCCAGCGCCTCCTTCAAGGGACGAACGAGGCGCACGCTCTGCGGGGGGAAGAGCTCTGGTCTCATTTTCCTGCCCGACGCGTGTCCCCGGCAGCCCCCGCGCGAGCGCTGCCCCGGCCCGCGCGGACAGGAGCACACCCACACCTCTTTGGTTTGTACCTTCTGACGCGGAAACTTGCCTTGCCTTCACGAGAAACACACCGGTCATGTTGGCCTATTGAGCTGTCCTAACCCCGGGAATTCACTCTTCCTGTTTTCTTTTGGGGCAACGTGTTTGTGAACAGTGAAGACATCACTATGCTATGCAAACTAAGTGCTGAGCCCACTGATGTCACGTTTGGTGAAGATCCTACGTTTAGCACAGTCCTATTTTTCCTCAAGACCACAGTGTTTGGTTCATATTCTCCTTTGCACCTTGTGTCAACCTCCACTGCTGTATATCCTCAAGGTGACGAGGAGGAGACCAGGAACTATCCGTGGTCAGTAGGTAGGGAACTCTTAGGAAGGCTTTTAGAGCGTAGGGAACGCATCAACACTTAAGTGTCAACATGAGAAGCCTACATTCCTCTACACAAGTGCCTGCATAGTGACACCAATCAGCACCTCCATCTCATCCTCCGAACTCTGGCTTGTGTTCATTGAAAGCAAAACGATCTCAGAGGGGCTGTTCCCGCTCACCTGGTGGTAGAAAGCTTCTCATTAAGAATAAAATCGGGGTCAAGGTCAAGGTTCTCTCTGCAAATCAGTTTGTTCACCAGCATTACACCGGAACGCGCCTGGCTGCTGCTCTGCAGCGAGGGTGCAAAGGGATTTTGGTTCCTCGTTTTTATTTTAGTGTTTTAGTTGGGTCTAGAATTCTGAAATGTCTTTTAGTAGCTGTGGCATAGCACGTGCCATTTTTAACCATTTGAAAAGAGATAGTGTGGGTATTTACAGAAACAGCTTGTTGCTCTGTAACAATTTTTTTTAACCTTGAGACTTGAAATGTAAAATGGACCTTTAAGATTTGCACTCATTTGTAAGGTGGCTGTTCATAGAAAACTATGAATGAAGACTTGCTGATGTAGCACCTACTTTTAACAGCAATTTTAACTACACAAAAGCTTCACAGCTTCTGAAACTCTCAGCTGTTGACTTGCAGATCGTGTTCTGCCCTTATTTCACCCTCTGCGTTGGGTTTTCATGGTTTTGGATAAATAAAAAAAGCCAAACTCAGTAGCTGCTGTGCCCTTTAAACCCAGTTTCCACTTTGAAGAACTTTAGAGAGGTTGGAGTGACCCGCATGTTTTCTATTCCGGACTATGCACCGTGCCCTCTCCGCGCTCCGGCACCGGCATTTCCCCCTTCTCTTGTCCGAGATGCAAACGAGTAGCTGCATGTGGAGGTGCGTTTTGCTGCCGTAGGCGATAGGTGTTACCCAGGTACATGCCAGGACTGTAGTTAGCCACAACCCCCACACGGACATCCCGATGGGCTCCGAGCCTCCGCCTCGCACGAGCTCGTCTGCGACTGGAAGCGTCGCCGGGTGCATGCAGTTCTGTGGGAAGAGGAGTGGCTTTCATTTACCTGTTGAATGCTGTTGTTCCCCTTATCTCATATCTGGACAGAACGGGGCGGGAGGTCTGCTCTGCCCTCTCCCCGCAGCTCCAGGGCGGTCGGGGCGTTCTGGGATCGCACGGGTCCGACCCGATGTCTCAGTGTCACCCAGCGTTGCCTCGCGGAAGGTTTTCTTCTTGGAAAATCAGTGTGAAATAAAAAGAATGTGATTGTTTCAGGAAGGGAAGCCAGACAGCAAGGAGAGCAATAAACAAGTGAAATCCATATCTTGCCTGAGTGATTTGCACTTCAATAGTTGTGAAAGAAAATTTCCAGGACTCCAGTGCTTTTGTGTTCGATTTCCAGCCCCTTTCATACCTCCTTTCTACGAGCAAGTGTGGGACTGTACATAGGGTGTTTACAGGATGCTCCCTTTGGGTTGTTACTTTTCTTGTGGGTTTTTTTTGCTCTAGCTTGAACTCTGTATGGTCCATTTGTTAAATAGCCGTGAACAGCTGATGTACAGTACTTACTAAACAAGCAGCAGCACAAAACTTATTTTATTAAGAAAATATGGCTTATATTTTAAAGGTTGAATATCAATTTTTTTTTTGTATGTGTGGAATTAAGACTGGTAAAGGGTAACAAAATCCTTGGATTAGGCCAAAAGAAAATACTGTAAGATCATAACCACCTCTTTATTAAAGAAAGCAGTATGATTAAAGAGCTCCAGAACATTGTATTTATATTGGATTTGATTTAATTGCCTTTGTGGATTTTTTTTTTTTTTGCCTTGGTCCTGATTTTTGCTTGCAACTTCGACTTTGCAGTCCCAAGTGTCTGTTACCTGTAACTGTTGGCAGAAGACCTAAATAAAAGCAATGTGAATATGTCGGGGTGACACTCCTGAGTCACATGGTGTGAAGGGGAAGGGACATGCGCATCCCGTTCCCTCGGGAAAGGCTGGGGACAAGCAGGGAAACGCTGCCTGGAGCTGAATTGCATCAGATATTGCAGAGGATCCAACACCCCTCACTGTCCAGATCTCCATTTAATGAGAGAAACACTTCAGTGAACAAATGCGTGCTTAAGACTTCTGGGAATACAGTAGCCAGTTCTACTTTGTATTAAAATGTCGTCTGAGAACTGACTGGACTGGGGCTCCTGGGTTCTGTCAGAAATGGACATCAAAATGTGCTGCTCCTGCACCGAGTGCTTCGGGGGCTGCTGCCTCCGAGGTGCTTTAAGGACAGACTTCAGACGCCTCTTGGATTGAGGTTAAACTTGATCCTCTGGGTTTCTGTACTGCCTCATGTTTTACATTTCCCATCCTGTTTTACATTTCCCATCAGGTTTTACATTTCCCAGCTTCAGAATTCTTGCAAACATCCTAGTCCTCTCCAATGCCAACAGCTTATGGTTGACTTTTAGGGTCCGTAACTGGACCCTCTGAGTTTTTTGGCCTTGTTTTACCTCACGAAGGTGAAGGGACAGACCTTTCCTGATGAATGATTCAGCAATTGAGCTGTAACTGGGTTTTGAATAATGCCAAGGAATTTTAAGGAAGTGCTCACTAATGGCAGGCAGGCACTCGTTAGTTAATTACCTGAACTGCAGCACCAGAACGTTCTGTCCTGAGCTGGGCAGCAGCACAAGTTCTGCACTCATGGGCTGCTTTGTGGGTTGTATCACCTGTTTGAAATGAGTTGTACTACATAACAGAAATCTGCAGTTTTAAGGGGGCTGTTTCTGTGAGAGGTTTCACAGCAAATCGTGCCTCATGCAGCTGGGACTGGAGTCCTGGAAAACGGGTCGGAAAACTGGTTTCAGGTGTTAGATTGGCATTTGAGCCCCAGTCCTGGTTCTGGTTACAGCTGCAGGACTAGACGTGCTGCCCCTGAGGGATGTGTGTTTACAGGGATCCCTCCCTCCCACATATCTGCTTCATCTTGGTGATCACATTCCCCCTTCCTGCTCCGGATTTCAGTTAAGGAAATTCTCTAGTAATTTACCTTTAATTTGCATGGGTGTAGAAACCTTACTGTGTTGCTCGCTTAGGCTTTTACAGACTTTATTTAGCAGAGAGTCTCCAAGATGGTCATTCTTAATAATGATCCTGAAATTTGGATTATGAATTCCTGATGGCCCAAAGTTCCAGTTCCTCAGCTGTTTCCCTGGGGAAAGGCCCCTCTCACCATCAGAAAAAGTGACTTTCCTTCACAGGTAGCAGGTTCAAACCCACTTGAACAAGTCTCAATTCACTATTCTTATGAAAAAATGATCTTCTGGGGGCAGAGTGATAAAGGTGCCATTGCCTAACTCAGCACTGAGCCTGGTACACCTGAATCACATCATGAGCTGGGAGGACCCCCAAGGATCACCAGCCCAACTCCTGGCCCTGCACAGACACCCCAACAATCCCACCCTGTCCAAACACTCCTGGAGCTCTGTCGGCCTTGGGGCCGTGACTAAACCCTGGGGAGCCTGTTCAGTGCCCCACCACCCTCTGGAGGGTTCCATGTGTCCCCAGTCCCGCAGCTCCAGGGAAGCGTCCCCATGTCCCGGCCCGGCCACGCCCGCGGTGTCGGGGGTGTCCCAAGCCCGCTCCTCCCGCACGGACGGACCCGCCGGTGCCTGCGGGGCTCCCCCCGCGCTGCCCGGGCCCCGCGGCCCCCCCGTTTCCATGGCAACCGCGCCGGCCCCGCGCCCCTCCCGCTTCCGCTTCCCCCGGAAAGGGCCGGGGCGCGCGCGGGGGAAGGGGAAGCGCGGGCGGGATTTCCGGCGGGAGCGGGGCGGGAGCGGGAGCGGCCGCGCGGGGAGCCGGGGCTGCGGGGCGGCCACGCCACTTCCGCCGCCGCGCCAGGGGCCGGCACCGCCGGCAGCGGCACCGGGAGCGGCACCGGGAACCGCACCGCGAACACCCGGGAGCGGCGCCGGGAGCACCCGGGAGCGCGGCGGGGGAGCCGCCGCCCAGCGCAGCCCCGCGCCCGCCGCAGCCCCCGAGCGGCTGCGCCCCAGCTCCATGAATGGAAATCGGCAGCGCAGGTGAGCCCGGGCCCGGCGGGGCCCCCGCGGGCACCCGCAGCGGGTCCCCCCGCGCCGCGCAGCCCCCGGGGCCGGGAGGGGCCGGGAGGGGCCGGGGAATCCCACGGGCACGGCCCCGGGGCCGGCGGAGCGGGGGCCGAGGGCACGGTCGGTATTTCATAACCGGAGCGCCCGCCTTGCGTAACCCGCCCCGGGCCGGGACCAGGGAGGGCTCCCCCGGGATGGGGCCCCGCTGCGGAGCACGATGAGTTTTAAGGGTGGTTCCTGCGGCTCTGGGTGTGCTGCTGCACAGTCGCCAGGATGGTTATTGGCCAGGGAAGCTGTGGCTGCCCCATCCCTGGGAGTGTCCAAGGCCAGGCTGGAAGGGGCTTGGAGCAGTCTGGGATAGTGGAAGGTGTCTCTGCCCATGGGAGGGGGGTGGGACTGGATGGGCTTTAATGTCCCTTCCAGCCCAAACCATTCTGTGAGGATCTTCACATTTTGGCCGTTTGATCCCTTTGCCAGGGAAGCACGTGCTTGGTGTTTATAAGCTTTGTGTTTTAAATGGGGTTTGAGTATCAGAGAAGGAATTTCTGCTTTAGTCTGTCGAAAGAATTTGTCTCCAAGGTTGGCAGAACAGTTCAGGTTTGGGCAGTGTTTAATCAGCAGTTCCCTGACTGAACCTGGATGGCAAAGGGAATGTCCAAAGCCACCTGGAGTTCTGTGTCTGTCACATCAAGAGGTGCCACAGGTGCTGAACACACGAGTATGAGACTGAAGGTGCCAACACAAAATGTGCCTTTTCACCTCCATGTGTAGAGCCTTTTGTAACTTACTTGGAGATTTAAGGACAAGAGTGGATTTGGCTGGAAAAACTCCTCATCTCAGCTGTTGCCTGGCTTGATGAGGAGTTGAAAATATTTTAGGAAGATGCAGGATTTTAACAGTCTGGTGGAATTCAGGTGATACACTCACCTGTTAACTTTAATTATAACCTGCTGCAGTGGTAGTTGTCTCCTGATAAAGAGATTTGCTAGAGCAGCCCCTAAACCCTTTAGTTTCCCTTTGGAATGAGTTTACCTGTTGTTGGGCTGCAAGGTGTTGGATTTTAGTGAAGTTGAGTGTTCCTGGTGAGCTCAGCCCGTGTCCAGCACAATGGGTGACTCTTCCACCTCTGCTGGGTGATGAGGGAAGTGTTAAGTGTGATGTTTTGGGGTGTTGGAACAGGAGGACACAAAACATCCCTGTCAGAACAAACGAGGGTTAAAGCTTTGTCATCAAAAGGAGGGCACTGAGATGTGGTTCCTTTTCTGTGTGTGAAGGGAAAACATGGGATAGAACAAGCAGAAGGGAGCAGAGATGGAGGGATGAGTATCCCTGGAGTGAAGTGCGGGAGCGTGTGCAGGCACATCTCAGGTGAAGCAGTGCTGTGGGTGATGTCCTGTTTGTGTGAGAGGCTCAGCCTGTGAAATCTAGAAAATATGGCTCTCCCAGTCTGTGGAATTGGAACATGGCCTAAAGCAGGAGCAGGGTGTGAAGGTGGCTGCTCAGGGTGGAAGTTGTGGTGAAGTCAAGTGACTGAGGAATAGGAGTAAAATGTTCACTGGGAGAAGGTACAGTGAAGGAAAAGCAGCTCTTGGTACTTGAATCCAGTGTCCCACATTGCACTTCCACCAGGAGAATGGGAAGTAAACTTCCAAAAGGCAGAGAGATTCAACCAGCTGGGGATGCTCCATGGTGTAACTGAGTTGGATCAGTGCTCTGTGTGTCTTTATTTCCATGTCATGCATTGTTCCTTCAAAGCTCACAGTTTTTTGTGTTAAAAGTGTTAAATTGTTGTTTGGAGTTTTTCCTCTTTTTTTTAACAGGCACCTTCAATATTCCATTTGCTTTTCTGTACAAACTTTGGCAGAGAAAATCCTGAGAAGTTGCTTTTCTCTTTCTGAGTTCAGAGTAGTGATTTGGGAGGCCCATTAAAAGTCCCATTTTTGTGGGTGGGGTAGAGGAGGGAAGGGGGTGATTCATAGGTGCCTTCAAAAGTTCCTCTGTGCTGTGAGATACAATGGCAGATTTCCTCTGGGGTTGCTGTGGAAGCTGTTTGACTCACAGTATGAACTTTACAAATTGTTTCTCGTCCTCAGAGCTTTGCTTTCTTGGGCGGGAAGGTGTCAAGAGTATTTCTTGAGCTAATTTTTACCCTCCTGATTTTGGTCTGTGGAAATACCTTCCAGGGAAAAGTCTTCCAGGGTTTGTGTGGGCTGACCTGTTCTCTTCTCCCAGAGCAGTTGGGTATTAACTTCACTCTGTGCATATAAACTGCTGTTTTGAGCTTAAAGCTCTTAGTATTTAGATTTTTTTTAATGGCTCAGGAGCATTTATTGTCTTGTAAATGCTCCCAAAACACTTCACTGTGTTTTCTGTAACTCCATTAGGCCAGAACTGAGTTACCACGCCAGTGTTTGCTTGTGCAGTTGGCAGTCACTGAGCATGGCATCAAAATCTTGCCTTTTGATGAGTTTTAACATGACTGAATACCTGAAACCTTGAAAAAAACCCAAACCCTAAATTGCAAGGAGGAATGTTTAGAAAACGTGGATTGCATTACTCATAAATAATGTAATGCCACCCAGCGAGGCCGCAGCGACAGAAATGAGGCAATTCTGGATTTCTGGCAGGAGGAGCTCAGTTATTGAAACCAACGTTTGAATCTGATCTTCCCTGTGTGTTTTTTTTTAATCCAGAATTAAGTTATTTTTTTGGTAGTGTTAGGATTTTCTTAGAGCTCCACAGGCTGGGCCTCTGAGTCCAGGCAGAGGCCAGGGGCCCTCTGCAAGGGAATCTTTTATTTTTCCCCCTCCATGGGGAGCTCTCCCGGGTGC